TGTAACAAGATCCCAGCATACACACGGTGTACATACAGTCTAACATCTGACAGAATTCTCCCTCTATTCCATACACAACAATGGCTAGAAAAAACTTCGCCTAGTCTACATTACACTAGGGTTTGTTTACACAGCCACGATAGCTTACCATCTAAATGTTGGCGAATAAAAACTATAAACACGAGTAGGACACACCATGTATTTGCATCTTTTATACAAGCAATATGAATAAAAAGTATGTAGAGTACGGCTAGGTTTTTTTTTGTCGGTTTGAGTATGCCTAGGGTTTCTTGTCTGCATAAGTGAGTGTGTCTATTTTTCTAGTCGGTATGTTTCCATGAGCCTATCTCTTTCTTGCCTGTGTTAGTTTGCCTAGAGTTTCTTGTCGGCATAAGTCAGTGTGTCTTTTGTCTTATAGGTATATGTCTAGGACATTACCCCCCACATCCACATCCGGAAATTTCTCCCGGATATTCCCCCGTCAATTTCCCCCCCCCCCCTCCTGTCAATTACCCCCTGACTCTAACAATAGTCCAAACCCTAACCCTAACTGGGCGAGGGGTTATTGACAGGGGGGGGGGGGTAATTGACAGGGAGCAATTGCTCCAGGGAGGGGTAAAGTCTGGGTGGGGGAATTGTCCGAAAGGGTTAACTGACGTGGGGGGGGGGGGTAATGTCCTGCTCCCTATCGGAATGTATCATTCTGCCTAGCTTTTCCTGGGTGTAAACACATAAGTGTAACATACAACCCGCATCACCGTCTTATTCATTATAATATTCACTTAAAAAACTCTTCAGTTCCGAAACTTACAATTCTAAACCTTGGACGATAACTCACTAGCATACAGCTGAGGTTTGACTTAACATTACCAACGCAACAATACCTACCCCACAAATTTGCCTGTGTGCAACAATACCTACACTACACGCTTACCAGTGTGCAACAATACCTACCTAAAACGCTTGCCTGTGTACAACAATACCTACCCTACAAGCTTGCCTGTGTACAACAATACCTACCCCACAAATTTGCCTGTGTGCAACAATACCTACACTACAAGCTTACCTGTGTACAACAATACCTACCTAAAACGCTTGCCTGTGTACAACAATACCTACCCTACAAGCTTGCCTGTGTGCAACAATACCTACCTTACAAACGTACCTGTAACATGAGCACATATGGCTACATCAATTAACGTGACGACTACCTCGACCAACTAACTGATGTTACGACGCCGTACGTTTAATCTTCTCTATTTGTTCAACCAATCACCACCGTCCTTACATCTTGGTACCGCTCCATTAGTCCAATTTCAGGTACAGAAAATGTTAGCACCATTTGCTTAATACCGTTGTAAGTTTTAACACCGTCTGCTCTAGGCCTTTATGAGTTTTAACATTGTCTGCTCAAACTGCTCAAGGCCGTTATTAGTTTTAGTAACGTCTGCTTAAGGCCGTTATAGATTTTAGTATCGTCTGCTCAATACCGTTAAGAGTTTTAACATCGTTTGATCAAGACCATTATGAGCTTTACCAGCTTCTTCACTGAAGGCCGTTCTAAGTTTTACCATCGCCTACTTAAGACACCAACACACCAACGTGATAAATCACTTCCACGATAGTTGAGTTTTCTCGGCCGGAATTTTCCGGCATGACGGAGATATTTCCTGTTGCCAGCTAGGAATGAGACAAACTACTTAATTACAGAAACTTTGCCGGTTCTATGTAGCCTGCCGGTCTTCTCCGGCTTTCATTGAAACAAACACACGCATACTTGTTTGCACTGCGGTGCATGGGGGGGGGGGGAGGGGGGGGGGATAAAAACAACGGCATTCTTCGGTGCAGGAGGTGCAATTTGAGAAAGATGTTTCACATTCGGAATTGGCTTGACAATGTAGGAATTTTGTTTATTTACTTTGAAATGGAGCTATCTAGTGCTGTCTTAATGTAAGCAATTTTGTTTTTCTTCTTTATAGATGGGGGGAGGGGGGAAAGGTTAATAAAAAACCCACCTGAATTGAAACTTAAGTAAAGTAAAGATTTGTTTTTGTTTAGATAAAAGTGGTTGAAGGTGTTAAAAAAGAGATTAAAACTTTGTATACAATGAAATTCTCGCCACGGCGAAAATAGCTTTATGAGAATAAAGTTATTGTTATTTTAATTGTCAGTCAAATGATAACACAGCTGGTGAAATGAGTTGTTCTACGCGACTAACAAACTACAAGAAAAAAAACAACAAAAAAAAACAATGTTTATAAGTCGTAAGACGGAAAACATTAAAATGATGTTGTAAACATGTTCGTCATAATCAAACCTTTTTTCCCACGTTTTCTTTAACTTGCTTTCGTCTCTGTTTGTCTTTCCAATCAAATCTTGCGATCGAAATTTCTGGCACTTCCCAGTTAGCTAGCGCGCTGAAATTTTCAGGGAAGCTTTGTTTTGGATGACATTAGAATATGCAATTGTTATTATTACTAAATTGATCCATGGAAACATTTTATTGAGCATTTTAGACCGCTATATAATCTATATATATAATTCTCCTCTGCGAGCCATTAGAAAACAAGCTGCAAGCGCCTCCTTACAGTCCCCTCTCTTTCTCTCTATCACTATCACTACCACCCTACCCCACCCCCACATGGTCTGCTGAGCTGTGGTCACGTTAATGTTTACAAACCGTACAGCCAGGTTTAGTGACGGCTATTAGGGGCAGATAATTTAGTTTGAACCGACTTTAAACTTACAGGAGGTAACTAAGAGGAGGCTGCTTTCACGGGGGGAGGGGGTGTAGGGTCGGGGTTAGGGGAAAGGAGGGGGGGTTAGTGTTTTAAAGCAAAAATTTTCAGTGGCAGCATTGGTACTGTCGAATTCACAAATTATGAATTACTGAAAAGTAGAAAATAAATCAACTAAATAGCGGCGTATGATACGCCGCGGGTCGGCTCGTTGTAGTAAAAACGTGGGGAAAAAGGGACATAACCCAGTAACTGTAATTTGTGTACAAACAACCGTAACAACTGGTGGCCGGTATGGGGGAGACGATATGGTCGAGTGGTTGGGCACACGATTGCTATCCCACTCGACACGGGTTCAAATCTATGTGTTCTAGTCAGTAACGTATTCACACAACGTGTTTTTTACGAGTTGTCTTTTTACGAGTTGTCTTTTTACGAGTTGTCTTCGTTTACCCAAAAAAAAAGTGAAAAGATCAAATCGATAGCAAGATTTTAATGCAAACAAACAGACAAAGACTAAAAAGTAGAAAATAATAATCATTAAAAAAAGTTTTTAAAAACCCACGTTTTCTGATTGAACTAAAAAGTAGAAAATAAATGCTATACATCACAATAATGCAAGCGATCACTCTACTATAAGCGATCAAAAACGTGGGGCGCCGTGATTTTCTTACAGTTTCTAATACTGTTGACTCTCTACAAGCTCCCTAATAAAAGTCAATAGTATTATCTAATCAATAGTAATATAACTTTTACTTCGGCGCCCCACGTTTTTTATCGCTTATAGTAGAGTGATCGCTTGCATTATTGTGATGTATAGCATTTATTTTCTACTTTTTAGTTCAATCAGAAAACGTGGGTTTTTAAAAACTTTTTTAATGATTATTATTTTTAATAAGTTAAGACGGGAACAGCTTCTATTAACATATAGTGGGTGGTCAATTGTTATTTACCTGATGTTTGTTTAAATTTGTTTATTTTATTTTAATTTGCGTCGGGATATATAACTTAGAAAAAAATATTCTTTGTGATTATTTACATTCAAACAGACACTTGACTCGTCTCCCCTTCGTTTAGCTGTGTTATATTGTTGTGTGATGTAGAAACCAACTTCTCTCTGTGTAGCCTTCATCTAGGGCGGCTTGTTTATTTGTTTATAATAATGTTGATGTACCTGTCATTAACTGAACTGTACGCCCTCTATACCGGCATGGTTAGGTAAGTCTACCTTACAGGTACATCAGGTACTGGTTGATAGTCTTTAACCTGCATAGAGAAAAATATTCATCCACTCAGTAGGTAGATCTATATTATGTATTTTTTTTAAATGTCTGTTTAAAGTTATATATATTTATATATATACATATATTCATATGCCGAGGTTACAGAAACAAGTGAACTCTACTTCACTTGCCCCGTAGACCGTCAGGTTTGAAAGGGTACTATACTTTACTATATATACACACACACACACATATATATATATATATATATATATATATATATATATATATATATATATATATATATATATATATATATATATATATATATATATGCTTGTGTACTGGTGTTTGTGTGGTTCATTACATAACCATCGTACACATACGTATGTTGTCTATATATATAGGAAGCTGCTAGACGATTATTATTTTGGTGAGTTCAATTTTTGTGGAGGAAAGCCTAATGTAAACTCTGCAGATGAACTCTACTTCACCTGCCCAGTGGACGGTCAAGTCTGAAAATGTGCTTGACTTTACATCTCCCAATAACCCTGCTCTACCGGAAGTCTACAAACTTGTAAAACAATCCCTGGTTATCACAATATCACCATGCCCCGTCATGCGCAGAAAGTACCGGAAGTAGACTCTGATATCAGGAAATAATTAAATTTCGTCAATTAGCCCGCAACATCTGACGAGTTTAATTAATCACTTGCCCCAATACAACAATATCAAGTTCTACCAAGCACAGGCTATTTCTTACAGTCGCGAGCCACGTATATGTCGATTATACATTAATTTATGTAAATATGACGAATGTGTTTCACGTTTCTTTAATTATACACACCTGTATAACTTGTATGCTCGCTTTATTTTAATTAACTTAAATTAAAAATATAAAATTGAGCAGTATCTCAAAATATTTGTTTCGTTTTCAACATTTTTTTTCGTAATTTTAGTTTTTAATTAGTTTTAAAAACTTTTAATATCTATTGTTAACATAAGCTAACATCATGCATTATAAATTCTTTTTCTTCAGGTCGATGATAAGCCGCTCAAAGGTCTGACCCAGCAACAAGACCCCTACATTAAGACCGCAGATAAAAATGGCCTGTAACTGGGCACTGGGAGACGTCAGCGTCCCTTGGTTGCTGTGGCAACGCGTCTCGACCCAATATGGCTGATCTTCACGACGCGGCCACGGTATCGTATGACGCAACGATCCGGCTGTATTTTAAAATCTTCAAACGTTCGACAGGCCTCGACTAACGATTGAAATTTTAGAACAAGTTTTCCTTGCCTTTTTGTGCGCTCGTTAATTTTTCATGAGAAGTGCCATGAACACATCATGAAACTAGAAACGATTGCTGGAACTCTAGATGATGCTGGTGGATTTTTCTCGCGGGTTGACCTTAAGGTCAAACGGCTGATTTAATCAAGTCTTTCTATTGGATTTTACAATTTTAATTCTGTCGTCTGCTGGTGTCAGGAGAAGATAATACCCGAGGATTTATGTTCAGAAACAAAGAGTTATCTTTTTATAACAGTTGAAATGAGCGCTAGAACATTTGGATTCATCTGTTTGATATTGGTGAGTAGATTTTTATCTGTAGGTTTTTGTTGCCAAACTTAAATGTGTATTTACTTATCAACTTTTCTTCCTAAATGGTAACCTACTTTTCTGTCTGTTCCCTCATGGGTTTAACAATTTAGTATATTCACAAACGGGGTGTTACAAAATTCTCAAAATTCTCATACAGATTACGATAATTCTTCAAAGTCCTAAAATGGATGTTGTAGTTATCTGAATTCCCAAACTGGTTAAAATAATTATGTACATTCCAAACGGGGTTATCTGTTCTTAAACAAGTTTTATCACCCCGTTTATATCTACAACATATTCTTTTGAGACAACCAACTTATACAAACACAATGACGTGAATATACAACAACAAAAAAAAAAAAGAGATGTAAGGGTTAAGGTATTTTAAGAATCTGTTTTCAGATTTTCTATAACCGAAAACAGCCTCTATGTCTGAGGACTCGACAGAAGTTCTAAAGGGTAATCCGGTCTGGCTGGTTCTAGCGTGAATCTATCCCATATTTCGGTCTGTCTGGCGACCTAATCAGATGAGTACTCAAGGATCTCGGGTCAAGGGACGAGAAAGAGATAAATGAATAAAAAAACTGATCTCAGTAGGGGGGGGGGGATTTTTTCCCCTGCAAGATGGACTTGGACTCAACAGATCCATTGTCAGGTCACAGTGACCCAGGTTATATGTGGGCGGTAGTGATCAATTTTTTTTTTCAACTGCGCTTAAGACTTGACGATAAAGTTAAAGTAGAATTCACCTGTTTCCTTGACCAAGGCGTATGAAGATATTGCTATAATCATTACGCCCAGTCGTCTTTTTTTTCTCCCGACTTGAGTCAGGTACCCGATAGAGCTGAGTGGACTACGGGACATAAACTCGACCTATTTTAGTGGCGTGTTCTAAACGAACCCAAGCGATGACCCATGTCATTGATGTTGGGTCGATTATCTGATCATATCATTCCTTAAGTTAGGCTGACCAAGCGATGACCCATGTCATTGATGTTGGGTCGATTATCTGATCATATCATTCCTTAAGTTAGGCTGACCAAGCGATGACCCATGTCATTGATGTTGGGTCGATTATCTGATCATATCATTCCTTAAGTTAGGCTGACCAAGCGATGACCCATGTCACTGATATATATATATATATATATATATATATATATATATATATATATATATATATATATATATATATATATATATATATATATATATATATATATATATATATATATATATATATATATATATATATATATATATATATATATATGTAGGGTCAATTATCTGATCAAATCGTTCCTTAGGCTAACGCAGGCTAGTGGCTTGTATGAAAGTGCCAGTGGTCAGTGAAGCGAAACCAGTATCAACCCATTTCTTTTTTTTCCATAAACGAAACTGGGGTTGAAGATAGGAAAAACACTTAAACATATCAAGAAACACAAACCAGTTTCGCTGCTACCTTGTGGGTTATCTAATCTAATTTTAATTTTAATGTGTGGAGTATCAAATTTTGTTGGGCGTCATTCACCTTGTACAGAGAGCTTGGCAAGCTAGCGAATGCCAAGATACAGGTACACTGATAGATCTGCTGTAGCTATATGGTGTAAGAGAAGTAATGTACAGATATGAAATTAAGCCAAAGTCCTACTTGGTGTCTATTTACCGTCCACTTGGCCGTCTAGTAGTGCCCGTCATCTGGCCGTCTAGTAGTGCCCGTCAGCTGGCCGTCTAGTAGTGCCCGTATTTGACCGTCTAGTAGTGCCCGTATCTGACCGTGTAAGAGTGCCCGTATCTGACCGTCTAGTTGTGCCCGTATCTGCCCGTCTAGTTGTTCCTGTCATCTGGCCGTCTAGTTGTGCCTGTCATCTGGCCGTCTAGTTGTGCCTGTCATCTGGCCGTCTAGTTGTGCCTGTCATCTGGCCGTCTACTGACGACCTATCGGTCTTCTATTGTTTGCCCACTGAGATCAGCCCCGTGCTATAATATATTCCAGTCAACAAAATATCCTGCTAATCTCGAGTACATGGTTAGAACTTGTGTGATGACCACTAGACGGCTCAAATGGCTGACCACTAGACGACTAACGTGACCATCTGGTCAATAGACGGCTAACGTGATCATCTAGCCATCAGACGGCTAACGTGACCATCTGGTCAATAGACGGCTAACGTGGCCATATGGTCAATAGACGGCTAACGTGACCATCTGATCAATAGACGGCTAACGTGGCGATCTGGTCAATAGACGGCTAACGTGACCATCTGGTCAATAGACGGCTAACGTGACCATCTGGTCAATAGACGGCTAACGTGACCATCTGGTCAATAGACGGCTAACGTGATCATCTGGTCAATAGACGGCTAACGTGATCATCTGGTCAATAGACGGCTAACGTGGCCATCTGGTCAATAGACGGCTAACGCTACCATCTGGTCAATAGACGGCTAACGTGATCATCTGGTCAATAGACGGCTAACGTGATCATCTGGTCAATAGACGGCTAACGTGGCCATCTGGTCAATAGACGGCTAACGTGACCATCTGGTCAATAGACGGCTTACGTGACCATCTGGTCAATAGACGGCTAACGTGGCCATCTGGCCGTCAGACGGCTAACGTGGCCATCTAGTCAATAGATGGCTTACGTGGCCATCTGGTCAATAGACGGCTAACGTGGCCATCCGGTCAATAGACGGCTAACGTGTCCATCTGGTCTATAGACGGCTAACGTGGCCATCTGGTCAATAGACGGCTAACGTGGCCATCTGGTCAATAGACGGCTAACGTGGCCATCTGGTCAATAGACGGCTAACGTGGCCATCTGGTCAATAGACGGCTAACGTGGCCATCTGGCCAATAGCCGGCTAACGTGGCCATACGACCACAACTAAGATGGCTATCTGACCCCCATGACCGCTAGATGGTTAACCTGACCCCTGTACATCAACCTGCTAACCACTTCAACCCAGGGTGCAGGTAAAACTATGACACAACACAACCAGGTAAAAACACTGACATACCACCTGCTCACCGGACCGTGAGATTCCACCGCGTCAGTCCTGAATACAGAAAGATACCGCCGCGACACGCTTCAACGAAAAATGTTTTTCTTTCTCGATTTAAAAAAATTTAAATTCCAACCTCGCATACGATTTTTTTTCTCTTTTATGGTCGGCGTACAACCCCATTGACTGCGGCCGCCCAGGTATGTGTCGTAGGTTCTTCAACGTTAGTTGACAGACCGCAAGTCTCCCCCCCCCCCGCACCGCACGTCTGCTGGGGGGGGGGGGGGCGGGAGATTTTTGGCATCCTGACAATTGGTGTATTGAAGTGTATTTCTGGCGTAATGGTGACATAAAGCCGGAGTTGACGTGGATTGGCGATGTATCGATTTTAGATTAGATCAGTGATTGAAAACACGAGGGATTAACGGAGGGATCTGGGGCACCTGTTGAGGGCGTGTGAGGGGTGGGGGGGGGGGTCTAGGCCATCTGTTGAGGGCTAAAATTAGTCGGTGTGTGAGTGTGAATGAGGGATTAACGGAGTGAGAGTGTGTGTGTGGGGGGGGGGGAGGCTAAGACACATGTTGATGTCTGAAAATAGTCGGTGTGGGAGTGTGTATGGGTGATTAGCAAAGAGTGTGTGTGGTGGGGGGGGGGGTGTTTCTGAGGCACCTGTTCATGGTTAAATTCAACAGTTGTGTGAGTGTGTATGAGGGATTAACGGAATGTGGGGGATGGGTGTGTCTGCTAAATTCAGTCTTTGTGCGAGTGTGAATAGGCAGTTGGGACACCTGTTCATAGCTAAATTCAATCGTTGTGCGAGTGTGAATAGGCAGTGAGATTAGCACGATATCAACTGTATGCGTGTATGCAGGTGCTTACAATTAACGATATGCGGTATGTGTGTGTTATGTGCTATTACGTGTCTGTGTGTAGGTCTCAGTTTGTTGTAGAAAATATATCTCAGAGCGTCTTCCAATAAATCCTTGTGACAAATCTTTAAAAAATTATATAACATATGTTCTAAAACAATACGGTGCACTACCCAGTTATACACTCTTACTCTCTCTTTCTCTCTCTCTCTCTCTCGCTATATATATATATATATATATATATATATATATATATATATATGATATATAAGATATAGAAGATATAGAAGATATAGAAGATATAGAAGATATATAAGAAAGATATATAAGATATATAAGATATATAAGATATATAAGATATATAAGATAAATAGCGCCCGGGGCACACCTCCTACAATGAATAATGCCTTTATGATAAGGTCACGTTTTCATTTAGCATTCCAAAAAAAAAAGGTAACAATGAAAATCATCTGGAAGAAAATGTCAAGCTAATCAAATTTCATGCAACGAAATCTCCAGACAATTATTCCTGTCGTCTGCTACTCTCTTCAGTAAACACAGGTGTTGAAAAATGCCCAAAACACCTGACCAAAACCACCACTACACCACCGCAGCAGTTGTGAGCTGCATTCAACGGACCGGATATAACGCAAGCGAACTTCCCAGACCCACAACAACGCGGCGTGGAGGATTGTTTGTGACGTAGATTAAAATCTGGCCGGAACGCCGTACAACTTGCCGGCTTGCCCTTAGGGTTCTTTAAATCAGTTTTTTTATCTAGTTTGTCCTGGCAAGCCAAGCATGTGTTTTAATCTTCTCTGTCAACACCCCCCCCCCCCCCTCACCCCGCGGAGTTTACACTCACATAAATCATATTAATTAATTTAAAAAGGTTAGTCGTTAAAATAGAACTTGAAGCTTTAATATCAACAAAAATATACGTACTAAATAAACATGAAGGTACTGTTATAAATCAATGTTAATATATTTTTACTGTGACGAAAATGCCGTACACTAGATATTTACTGAGATATCCACTCTTAAGGCTGGGTATGTGCATATAGTTTTAGCAGACGATAAAGTCTGGCAACGGATTCAGCAGACGACAGCG